TAATAGATTATTTAACTTTCCTTCATATTTTATTATGATTAAATGAGTTTTGATAAGCTATTCATTACAACAAGGTAATGGCATGTTAATCAATTATGACCTATATATGCACTGCAGGGAATTCCAAGACAATGCCCTTGCTCATGGAACTTTTGCAATATATTTATTGAGAACTGATGGGGAGCTGAAATCCTGGAGGCTGACTGAAGAGACACTGATGAGGTGAAAGGAAAAAGACTTCCTGACTGATTGTACATGGAGGTTTAAAGGAAAGAATGTATGGAAAATAGCTATGAGGGCCTCAGCCTGACGTTTATTGCAGATAGTGATACTGCAAACTGACGTTGATAAAATTTATTAAGAGTTTTGTACCAAATGAGGCTCTTTAAAACAAATACTCATTTGTTTATTTTGGAGAATGAAATAGTTAGCATTGGCATTATAAAACAAACATTTGACCCAAATCAATCATGAACCAATAAAAAATATTTTTTTAAAAATGATATAAACAAGCATCACATGTACTCGCCATCAAATTGGTATTAACTGATCAACACTTACGTGCACATATAGTAATAACATTCATCGAGTGTCAGGCAGGTTGGGGGGGAAGAGGGGGTGGGTATATTCACACCTACTGGGTGCGGTGTGCACCATCTGGGGGATGGACACGCTTGAAGCTCTGACTCGGGTGGGGCAAAGGCAATATATGTAACCTAAATATTTTTACCCCAGTAATATGCTGAAATAATAAAAAAAAGGTATAATCTTTGTCTTCAAGAATCTCACATTCCAGAAGTAGAAAAAAACATATACAAGAATAATACACTGTGATGATTGTCATACTAAAATACAAATAAAGGCTTAAAGACATGAAGACTAATTGCTCATGAGAGAGTTTGGGAGAAGTTTCTATGAGGTGAAACTTCAGATGAGCCCTCAATAATGTATTATCTGAATGATAAAGAACTTTAAGTTTTAGTACTTGCAAACAAAACCAAATACCTGTGCAGATATTTGAATTTCTGGAAGATTACCATATTTTTGAAGTAGAAAAAGAAGGGCAGAGATGCATGAGATAATATCCAATAGACAAGCAGACACCAATATGAAGACATGTAAAATAAGATAAGTGTTTGGAATTATTTTAGTGCAATTAGTAGCCATTGATGGGTTTAAGTACAAGGATGACTGAAAACGGAATAGTAAAATATGAAAATGAAAGTTAAAAGAAAAAATTCATAAACTGGAAATGCCTGCTCAAATATAAAACCTGTTAATCATTGAGTTAATTTAAAACTTAGCAATTAATTCTCAC